GTAGGAGTCCTGCTGTAGGATAAGCACTGAACCGCTAACCAAAAGGTCAGTGGTTCAAACCCACCAGCTGCTCCTTGGAAATCCTATGCAAGGTCAGACCCGACACAACAGCACTTAACAACAACAACAAAATTGTATGGATAAAAATAAAGTGTATGATACAATGAAATTGCCTTTCATATTGTATTCAATTTGTATTTAACTTAATTTTAAAAATGGGAAGTCAGAATAACTGCTGAGATGATAGTGTCTTCATCCCTGCTTTTCTTCACCACCAAATGTCTTTCACAATTTATTCTGAGGTGTCATGCCAACACTATTAAAATGCTATTTGCAGGTCCACTGAAGCTCAGACATACAATTCAGCAGCCAGGATGGGAGGCGTGGGGGTGGGAAATTTACTGAAAAGAATGAAAAAAAAAAACAAAAAACAAAAAAACCCCAAACTAGAAGGATTTGTTTCATTTTGTTACTATAGCGAATTCTAGCTTGATGAATTAACAGTGAAGTTATTTTTTTCTAGTACAGAAATAGAAGGAGTAAAAGGTGTGTGGGTAAGTACTAACTTCAACTGTACTGTAATTATCCTGAAATCTTTGATGTGTTTCAGCGCTTACATTTTTTCTGGGACTAAGAAGGACATCTGTCAACAACCATCATTTACACTTGAAACTGAAGTCAGCCGTTTTGTTTCAAAAGACATGAGGTGGTTGGCGTAAAATCAACTGCAAGAAAAGCCCATCTCCACTCTACACAGAAAGAGCTCTTTTTATCGCAGATGGTGAGCGAGGTTTAAGGTTTTATGTCCAGACACCGAAGCCGCTTATCGACCCAGGATGGGGCTCCAGATGGATGCTGTCCGGCGGAGGATGGGCGGCTGCCAATCTCCGAGGTGCAGCTGGGGTAAGCCGGAGGCCATAGCCCAGCGCCCATCATTTCCCACCCACACTGGAGAAACGACCCACTTCCCTATCGTGGGGCGAGGAAGAACTCATCCTCCCGTACCCAGCCAGCCTGCTGCCTGGCTCCGCGCGTGACCTCCGAGGAATCGAGCGGCGCGGGACAAGGAGGCTCCCCGCCTTCTGGGGAAGTTGGCAAGGACAAATACTGGTCATGCGCAGGAAGGTTACTCACCTTAGTGATCCGAAGTCCTCCGCCCTCTGCCTGCGCCCCCTCAGGAAGAAGAGCCTAAAGCGGCGGCAGCTTGAGAGCAGCAGCCAAAGCTGCCGCTGCTGCCGCCGCTGCCGAAGCTACCGCCTCTGCCAGTAACTGCCCGGGTGCGGCAGAACCTGGCGGGCGACTTCACAACATCATCATTCCGCGACTTCGGTTCCGCAGCGAGCCGTCAATCGCAAACCCGACACAGTTAGGGAAACGCGAATAGAACCCACTCTCCCAGCAGCCACCACGGCGCCAGCGCACGACCTGCTGGGAATTGTAGTCTCCTTTCCGACCCACCATCTCGTCGCCTAAAGTAGTTTAGCGTCTGCCCTCCCGCCCCCCGCTTAAGGGCCCCGCCCCTTCGCGGTCGAGCTCTGGGACGGGAGGCGGGGCCGCGACCCGAGACCGGGGTGGGGCGAATCCCCTCCCCGCGGCTCACTGGGGCTGGGGCAGAGTTCCAAGCCGACGACCCGTGTCTCGGTTGTGCCGCACGACCTCCTGCGCCCCACGACTCACGCAGAGAGCGGGCCGAGGGAGCTTGCCTGGCCCCTACGTGGGCCGGGATCCCGGATTCCCGGGGTCCCGAGCCCGCCCCTTCCCCGCGTTACGAGCCGCCTGAGGAGAGTCGCTGGCCGAGGTCGCCGCCAGGGTAACGAGGGGAGGCCGGTTCGGGAGGGGAAGGTCTGGGATGAGAGGGAGCGCTACTCAGTCGGCACGCGCCCCGGGCAGTCCTACGCTAGAATTCGCTGCCCTGCCTCTAGCCGGAGCTCGCTGTCCCGCCCCGCGCAGCTCCAGCTCTGCAGGAGCCCAGCTGGCAGTCCGCAAGCGGTCCGGTGCGGAGGCACCTGCGACCTGGTGGGCGGCGCCAGGTGCGCGGCCGAGCTGCGCCGGGCGCCTGTAGCCCGGCTCTGACCTTTGGCCGTGCGGGTGACTTGATGGAGTTCCGAGCAGAAGACACCCTCTGGTTTAGGTTGTCATGCTACCGGCTATAAAGTTCGCAAGAGTCCTCCGAGAACCGAACTAGGAAGGAAGCTTTCACAAAATTACATGCTCAAGCGTCTTTTTAAGTTCAGCCTTGTGTTATCCCCCTTGTGGGTTTGTTGTGTCAAATCGTTTTTCCTTCAAGATTGAATCAGGATGTGTTACACGGTGCCTGCACACATTAGGTGCTCAGTAAATATTTTTGAAAGTATGAGTCACGATACAAGTTTGAGCATTTTTACTGAGCTATGCTTCTCTGGTAGCGTAGTGGTTACAAATCGGGCCGCTAATCTCACTGTTAGCAGTTCTAAACTTTTACCAGCTGTTCCGCGGAAGAAAGATGAGGCTTTCTGCTCCCGCAAAGATTTACAGCCTCAGAAACCCTGTACAAGGTCGCTATGAGTCGGAACCAACGCCACGGTACATAACAACAACAACATGCGTCTCTATAATTTTTGTTGATTATATGAGTTTACTATAACGCTTTGAAAGTTACAGTAATTTGAAAGTTGAATAAAGAGAATTAAATCATTATTCTGCATTCAGGTAACAATGGTTCTGTTGGATGCTTAAATTAACTCAAAACTCAGCAGCTGTAAACAGATGCACTCTGCTCTTCACAGAAAGTGTTAACTTCTGGGCGATAAAAGCCTTCCAGACAAGTCATCCCATTGTAGAGCAAATTAAATTCCCATGGCATAATTAAAAGGAGCCTTGGTGGCACTGTAGGGTAAGCACTAGACTGCTAACTACAAGGTCGGTGGGCAGGTCAAACCCACCAACCAAGCAGCAGGAGAAAGATTAGGTTATAAAAAAAAAAAGGGGGGTGGGTGGGTAAAGGAGCTCTGGTAGCGAAGTGGTTATGAATCGGGCTGCGAACCGCAAGGTCAGCAGTTCAAAACTACCAGCTGCTCCGCGGGAGAACGATGAGGCTTTCTGCTCCCGTTAAGATTCACAGCCTCAGAAACCCTGTACAGGGTCGCTATGAGTCGGAACTGACTCCATGGCACACATGATAACAAGCCACTAAGGGAGAAATATATGTACAGTACTTCCTGAAGGATTTACAGCCTTGTAAACCCTCTGGGAAAAAGATGAAGCTTTCTGCTCTGGCAAAGATTTACAGCCTCGAAAATCCTCTACAGGGTCGCTGTGAGATATAACCAACTCCACGGTACCACCACCACCTCTGGGCAGTTTATATTCTGTCCTCTATCGAAGATGGTCGCTTTGAATTATCACCTTGGGAACAGTGGGTGTTGTAATTAGCTTCTTAGACAGAAGGACAAGGCACTACACCAATGTACTATTCAAGAAAACAAATAGAAATATAGGTGTCTTAAGAATGATAGGTTTAAAGAAGGAAAGTGGCCAGCAAGTTCCTGTATAGCAGTGTCTTACTAGACGCAGCTGCTGTTTTGACCTCAGAATGTCCTGTGAAATTATCCCTTAATCATCTGGCGTATCTAATTCAAAAACCTCTGGGATTAAACTGCCCTAGTGGAACAACCCACTTAATACAAGCCTTACATATTGTATTTGTTTCTTCTGAGTTTTTCTGAAAACACAGACTATGTAATGGAGTTTTGGACTCCTGGTGTGGCACTGTAGGATAAGATAAGCACTGAATTGCTAACTGCAAGGTCAACAGCTCGGCCCCACCAGTCACTCTCCTCAGAAACCCTATACAAAGCAACTGTGAATCACAACGGACTCAGTGACACTTAACAACAACCAAGAAGGTTAACAGGAATTATTTGCATATCTGTTAACAAATTCCAAGAATATAATTGAAAATTTTAATTATGAGATGAGAAATATTCAGCCTACAGAGAAGATTTTTTTCACATGAAAACTGAAAAAAAGAGTTTATCTTTTTTCTAAACAAAATATGACATGTTTCCAAAGGTGCTGATCAGAGATTACAAATGATAATCGGTAATTAATTAGAGGAAGAAAATCGCTAAATTCTTGAAGTGTATTTATGAGTGTAATCATTGGAAATTTTTAAGATATATGTAAGTAACATCATTTATTTCCAAAGTAGGTCCAACATTTTTTTCCTGTAGTACTTTAACATTGCCTAATGTGCTGGACTGCAAGGCCAGTTTGAACCACAGCGTCAGCAACTCAAGCTCATCAGGTGCTCCTCAGAAACCCTATACAGGGTCACCATAAGTTGGGATCAGCTTGACAGCACTTAACAACAACAACAAGAATTCTTTTGGAACTCTAATGTAGTGCTGTGTGGGATAAACCACTGGACTACAGGGATAAACCACTGGACTACAAGGTCGGCTGGAACCTCAAGGTCGGTGTTTCAACTCAGTAGCTGCTCCTCAGAAACCCTGTTCAGGGTCACCGTGAGGCAGAGTCAACTTGACAGCACTTCACAATAACAACAACAACAGGGTCTTTTAGAAAGCATTACATAAACAATGGAGAAGGACCAATGCAAGTATTTTGAGACTTTGAAAACATTCAAAACCTCCCTTCAACTTCATTCTGCTCTTCTGTTATGATGTCAGATCCCAAATAGTGTTCAGTAGACAGAAATGCTCTTTGAAGATACTTTTTAGGAATTGTGTCAGTCCTTGTGATAAGAGGCTGCCTAAATATCAGGTGGGTGGATGGTAGAAACGATTAACATGTTTAGCTGCTAACATAAAAATTGGAGGCACCTGAGAAGAAAGACCTGGCAATCTATTTCTGAAAAATCAGCCACTGGAAACCCAATGGAGCACAGTTCTACTCTGACACACATGTAGCAGGCTGTTGTTGTTTATGACAAATAGTTCTTTAGGGAACATTTATGTAAATCTAATCATTATTCTGCTTTTGTTTTTGTTATAGTAAAGTATTTCTACACCTTGAAAGGAAGATAAAGATATACTTTGGAATAGATGGATTTTTATCACTTTCTATGAACTAAAGTGATTCAATGTCTCTTTTGGTAAGTTGTTTGTTTTTTTTTTTTAAACATATCTAATTTTGTGTCATTTAAGTAGTTAGATATTAGTGTAGAAGCATAGAAAAGGTGTATTTTGATTGGATATTCTTATTCTTAGTTGTTGTTTTGACCTCACTGACCTGTAGTCATAAGAAATAAATTCTCTTTTGAGATTTTGCCTCTTTCTTCTCTAATATGCATATTCTATTCCTTTATCCCTTTTTATTTCATACATACGTATACCTAGATATGCCTTCCTCATTCAGTGAGCTATGCCATCTCCTTTACATCTTTCCTAAGTTCCTTTTATAAACTTCATCAGACTACGGGCAAGCAAAATAGCATTAAAATAGCATTTGACTAACAACTAACAAAACACATTTGAACCAGTCTGTAATGGTCTGTGTAGATGTGAACTTGCTTGCTGTTTATATTAGATTACTGGTGTCCACTTAGGGTAAATGTTGTAAAACATTTACAAATCCAAATGTATATATAAGTGACATAACTGGTAGTTAGTTTCAGGATAAATAAAAGTAATAAATATGTTCAGGTATTTCAGAAACTGTTGTATTGTTAAGTTTACTCATCCTAGACTAACCAATAGGAACTTTGTAAAGGAATCTGCTCTGTAGCTATCTTGACATTGTTAGCTTATGTTGTTCAGGGTGAGTTTTACATAAAACAGTAGAACTTATCATGTATTCCAAATTAATGTGATAGAGTGCTACAGAATACAAGTTGTAAAAATTCAGCTTAAAATATCAATAATACAGGCTGACTGGGAAAGATAGATGGTGTATTAGTGAAAAATTGATTTCTCCTAAATAACTAACTATACAGTGTTACCAAGTAGACCTATTGGTAGACTTATCTTAAGAAATTTGTTTGGTATTAGTACCTTAATGTTCATATAAAAATGGTTGATTGTGATATGCTTGAAAATAATTTGATATAAAACTCTTTCATGCAATTTGTGTATACTTTTATTATGACATGCTTTTTCTTCCTAAATTGTATAAGGTTAACTTTGCGCACTAATTGAAGATGTGTTAAATCCATGTAGATAATACATTTCTTAATTGGCAGTATGCTATAACAGGATCATGGGTCAAAATGTAGAACATTTTGTGTTCATGGAACTATGTCTCTTTTATTTTGCTTTGAATTAGAGTTTGAAATGTTTATCACCTTAAGAAATAAAATTCATTACGAATACACTCAATATAGTTTGATATAGATAGAAACAGTTCTTCTACTTAGGAAGACAAAGTATTATGATGAAATGTATCAACTTCTGGAGTTAGAACACCAAAAGGGAAGAAAATGCTTGGCATTTCTCAAACTGAGAGAAATGAAGAACATAATTCAAAACTAAAGTTGCAATATTGAAGAATCCTATGGGCAAAATAATGAATGATGCAGGAGGTTTTGAGGGAAATTGAAGGAATACAGAGTCACCATACCAAGAAGAACTGCTCAGTGTTCAGCCATTTTCGGATGTCACATGTAGTTAAGGATCAATGGTACTACAAGAAGTTCAAGCTGCACTAAAGGCATTGGCCAAAAATAAGGCTCCGGGATTCAATGGAATACCAACTGGCATATTTCTACAAATTGATGCAGAACTAGGAGCATTCACTCTTATATGCCAAGAAATGTGAAGGATAGCTACCTGGGTAACTGACTGGAAGAGATCCATGTTTGTTCCCATTCCAAAGAAAGAGGATTCAGAAGAATGCAACAATTATTAAACAATATAATAACATACACAAGTAAAGTTTTTGTTGAAGATAATTTAAAAACAATTGTAGCAGTGCATCAACAAGTAACTGCCAGAAATTCAGGATTCAGAAGAGGACATGGAATGAGGAATACTGTTGCTGATGGATGGATCAGATGAATTTTGGCTGAAAGCAGAGAATACCAGAAAGATGTTTACCTGTGTTTTATTGGCTACTCAAAGACGTTTTACTGTGTGGGTCATAGCAAATTTCTATAGTGAAGAATAGGTGTTCTAGAAACTTTATTGTGCTCTTGCAGAACCGGTACATACAGAACAAGGGGATATTGTTGTTGTTGTTAAGTGCCATCGAGTCAATTCTGACACATAGTGACTCTGTGTAGGGTTTCCGAGGAATGGATTGGTGGGATTGCTGACCTTGCAGTTCAGACTGACCTTGAGGTTGAGTTCTTATCCTACGGTGCCACATTGCATGGCTTAAAATCAGGAAAGGTGTGCATCAACGCTGTATTCTTTCACCATACTTGTTCAGTCAGTATGCTCAGCAAATAATCTGAGAAGCTGAATTATATGAAAAAGAATGTGGCATCAGGATTGGAGGAAGACTCACTATCAACCTGTGATATGTACATGATAACAACCTTGCTTGCTGAATATGAAGAGGACTTCAACACTCAATGATGAAGATCAAAGATTACAGCCTTCAATATGAGTTATATAAAATAAAAATCTTTACAACTGGACCAATAAGAAATATCATGATAAACAGAGACTATATGACTATATTGAAGTTGTCAAGGTTTTTATTTTATTTGGATCTACAACCAATGCCTGTGGAAGCAGCAATTAAGAAATCAAAGGACACATTGCATTGGGTAAGTCTGTTGCAAAGGACCTCTTTTTTAAAGTGTTAAAAAGCAAGAGTGTCATTTTGAAGATTAAGGTATACCTGACCTAAACTGTGACATTTTCATTTACCTCAGGTGCATATAAAAGCTGGACATTTAGTAAGAAAGATGAAGACAAATTGATACTTTTGAATTATAATATTGGTGAAGAATATTAAAGATTAAGGGGCTTCAAAAAGTTCATAGAAAAATTCCATTATCTTCTAATTTCATGAATTTTTTGAAGCCCCCTCATACACCTTAACGAGTCCTGATAATGTAGTGGGTTATGAGTTGGGCTGCTAACTGTAAGATCAGGATTTGGAATGTACCAGCTGCTCTGCAGAAGAAAGATGAGGCTTCCTGCTCTGGTAAAGATTTATATCCTCAGAAACCCAAACCAGAGTCACTACAATTTGCAACCAGCCTGGCTGCACATCCAACACCATATACCATGAACTGCAAGTAAAACAAGTCTGTCTTGGAAGAAGTACAACTGGAATGCTCCTTAGGAGAGAGGCTGGTGCGATCACATCTCCTGTAATTTGGGCATGTTACCAAAAGGGACCAGTCTCTGGAGAGGATATCATGCTTGGTAAAGTAGAGGGTCAGTGAAAAAGAGGAAGACCCTCAACAAGATGGATTGACACAGTGGTTGCAGTGGACTCAAATCTATTGTGTGTATGGAGCAGGAGTGGACATTATTTCATTCCCTATGAGTTGGAACCGACTTGATGGCACTTAAGAAAAATAACATCACACTTAAGAAGAAAAGTATCCAGAGTCAGGAAGGAATAGGAAAGAATAATGAGTAGAAAAAGTAAATGGGCTGAGTGCTGTTACATCGTGGGGATTGCAGTCATTGTTGTTAAGCAAAATGTGTATGAATTCTTGAATGGAAAATCGATTTGCTATGTAAACTTCCACTTGAATCACAATAAAAAGTTGTAGGGTTTTTTTGTTTTTAATGTTCCATGTATAAAATTTGAAAAGAAAACATTAGAGGATCAATTTAAAAACAATTATAATGAGTACAGCAGAATAATACTTAGCTAAATATTCAGAAGAAAACTCAAAGATGATGAGAGGGTTAAAAATTAACCATGAGTTGATGTTAGGACTTCCAAAGAAGAGAGGGCAAAGATCAGTGATAACATCAAGTAAAATTGTAGCAATTATGAAGTTTGTCTTCTGCACACCCAGTTCCTCATTTCTGCTCCAAGTGGAGTGCCTCCAGTTTCTATATGGTAATTCCAGGTACCTGCATGCTGCCCTCTCTCCCTGTCCTTCACCCCAGTCACCTGACCTTTTGTATGCATACAACACCCCAACTTAACCTGTGACTTACTTAAAGCATTTCTGAATTTCCAGGATTGTTTCTGTACTTCACGAACACAAGTTGAATCACTCAGACCTCAGAAGTTGTCTGAAACCAGTCTCCATCAATACTTGGTAAGAAAATGGTTCAGTACAACTAACAATTCTCCTTTGCCTTCTGCAATACCATTCATTCATAGTTCTCCTGTATCTCTTTTTCTCTAGTTCTCTGTTGTTGTTATTGTTGGTGTCATTGAATCAGTTCTGACTCATAGCAACCTTGCATAGGGTTTCTCAGGAGCAGCTGGTGGGTTTGAAGCACTGACCCTGTGGTTCACAGTCCAGTGCTTATTCTAGAGTGCCACACCAGTAGTCCCATCTCACCTATTCCTATGACTTTAGTTGCTCAAATTTCAGATTGTCATGTATTTCCTCCCATGTTTTCTTCAAGCCATGCAGAAACCCTGGGAGTAAGTGAGACTGAAGATTCTCAAATTCTGCTTGCACCCTCAGACTCTTTCCTAGACACCAGACATGTTAGGAACACCTGCCATTGGAGTTTTCAAAGGCAGTTCTTTCTAGTTTGATTAAAACTTATGTCTTCCTTGAAATCTCACTAGCCCATTGTAGTCTTTGTTTTAACTAATGAAAACCGACCTACTAAATTATCTCAACTGTAAATGTTGGAGCTATCTTTATGCAGCTTCTATCCCCACATCTAGTTGTACCAAGGCTCATGAATTGGTCTCTGAAATGCCCTGGAGTCCATTTCTTTCTTCACATGACCCTGTGTAAGGAAATCAAGTATTTGATTAGAAGCAGGGTCTAATCTTACCTGGACTGTTGCAGGTAGACTTGTGCCTCTAACCCTTTAAACACACATTCAACCTTTCCCTGCTACTCAGATCAGATTTCAACACTGCTGCAAATAACAGATCTGCTTACATCACTTTCCAGCTTCAAAACTTCCATTGGATTCCTGAAGCCTGTGGAATAAAATCAGAACTTAGCTTGGTATACTGTTGCTGTTGTTAGTTGCTGTTGTTGAATGGTATAGGATCTAATTTTTGAATTTCAATTCTTGCTGCTGAGTCTTGGCTTGTAATATTCTCTCTTGCTTGCAATGCTTTTTTTCCCTTTCTGTCTCTTAAATTCCTCTTCATCCACTAAGAGTTGGCTCACATATCACATCTGTGCAGCCTTTTATTCCATTACACTCCCATTGATCTTAAACATTCCTGTAAAAGGGTATTTATTGTCTCACAGTGATTACTGTCTATGTCTCTCCAACTATAACATTATCCTAATGAAAGTAGGCATCCTGCCTGGTTCATCTTTATCTCTTTTGGGCAATCTATAACATACAAAGGGATGTCAAAAAGTTCATGGAAAAATGGAAATAGAAGATAATGGAATTTTTCCACAAATTTTTGAAGCTCCCTTGCATTGTTATTATTGTTAAGTGCCATTGAATCAGTTCTGACTCATAGTGATCCTGTATAGGGTTTCCAAGGAGCAGCTAATGGGTTTGAACTGCTGATGTTGTGACTCATGATCCAGTGCTAATCCTAGAGTGCCACACCAGGACAATGTTTAAAGAAACTTGCTTGTTAATCGAGAGTTCTCAAGATACCCCTATCCCCTGCCTTAATCCTTGCATTGTTCTAGAAAGTGCAAGTTGCCTTGAAAATGCCTTATTTGTAATAGGATAAAATATCTCCACTTCATCTTGTTTATAACTTATCCTGGTCCTGTCTTCATTTTTGCCCATTTTAGTTTTCATTCACTGTAATACTTTGGAGTCTTCTAGTAATCTTTCCTTTTATACAATACAATGTAGCATCCAACCCTAGTGTTCACTCAAGTGCTACCCATCGGGTTGAGGTAATGTTCGGAGGCATATCTGTGTTCATCTCCATGCTGTTACCAAGAGAGATGCCTAGAACTTGAGAAACTTCTACAGGTCTTACTCGAATGCTTCAAACCTCAAGGTTAGAGCCATTTTACCTTTTAAGGAGTTAAATATCCCATTTCTACCCCCCACTGGAGTTAGACTAGAATTACGATGTATCTGAAATCTCTTGTGGAGGAATAGGTTAGAGACATTGTACGATGTAAGTTGACACCAGGCTGGAGACTGACTCCTGGTGATAGTGAACCTTCCCTTGGCTGTTCCTGAGCCATACTTTAAAACATCATTTGTTGTCTTTTATATGTATTAAATTAAATTTTACATTAAGGTTTTGTGTTTGGAAGGAAGCCGTGGCTTTCCAAATGCTATGTGCCTGCTATGACATTGGAAGGCTACCTGGTGTCATAATGGTTAAAGCACTTGGCCGCTAATCAAAAGGTCAGTGCTTTGAACCCTCCAGCTGTTCTGCAGGGAGAAGAAGAGGCAGTCTGCTTCCATAATGATTTATGGACAGTCTGGGAAGCCCTATGGAGCAGTTCTGTCCTCTCCTGTAGGATTGCTGTAAGTCAGAATTGGTTTGATGGCAACAACTTGACAGGTTATGACTTTGGAAACCTCTCTAATATGCCAAAAAGCCCATCTTCTTTAATTGAGCTTTGCAGAATGAAAGACTATAATGCTTGAATTGAGCTGCTTTAAAATAATGAAGTTTTAGCACTGTAGTAATTCTCTGAAGGCCATCTAGTCCTATTTCCAACTGAGGCGGGAATGTTCTCTACATTATTTCTGGGATTTTAGATATTCAAATAGGGAAAATTGCTCCATCACAGCAAATAATAATTTAGAAGGGTGTGCTTCACCACAAGTTAATATCTTGCAGGATCACTCTGAAAGCACTGCTCACAGTGCCTTTTACTGCCAAACTTCTGGAACATCACTTCATGTCTACACTTTAGAAATCAGAAACTGAATTTTCTGAAATCACAAATCCCAAGTGAATCCAAATCTCAGCACAAGATCCATTTTAAGCAAGCTCACTAGGCCGATGTATAAACCCCTAGCAGCCTGTATACCACTGTTTCCTTAGAACACATCATCAGTCCATTCTTCTCTCATCGTAAAATTCCACAGGAAAACAAATCCTCATTGGAAGCACTTTAATTTCTAATGGAGAACTAATGCCAAATATCAGAGTACTTGAAATATGCATCACAGTGTTTTTGCTATAAGCAGACATTTGTGGACATCAAATGACCACCTATTTGGTGATCCTGGAATCAAAACAAGGGAAGACAAAATTTAAGGCGTATTTCTGAGATAACCAGCTGGATTTTTCTCTACCTAGGAGATATTCCTTTTTTTTTTTTTTCCCCATTTATCATAGTGTTATTGGTCTAGTTGTGGGTTGTTGTTTTTTTTCAAGTTTTTATTGTGAATTATGTGATCGTTTACTTGGGGGAACATCCTCTTATTTTGTTTCATTGCAATGATTACAGTCTCCTGCATGCATCACTGAACAACCAAAGGGACTGCCCCTGGACTGTCAACACATAGCCCCTCTCCCTCCCTGAGTCTAAAGTCCCCAGCTGCTCCATCTCTCCATGTCATCATCTCTGCCTCTAACTCTAGCGTCACTGCTTCTCTGGATAGGGTCCCACACTTCACTTTTCTCCCTTGATGGTTCCAGGGACCTCTGCTCCTAGACTGCAAAATCTACCACTCCCCTCCTTCTGTTACAAAATGTCTTCCTTTACCTTTCCAACACTCAACAGTCAGACCTGTAGCAGTCATCCACTATTGAACCACAAGAGTCTTAGCTCCATCTCTTTTCATCAGTGGAGATTCTACCATTCCCCGCACCCTCTGGAACTAGGTTCCCTATTGAAAGCTTATAAGCCAGTCACTTCTTGCCTTTGTAGTGTCCCCATTTTGGGTAACCAATGTCTAAGTTGCCCATCCTTGTCGACCCTGTGTACCAAGGGGGTGGGAATGATCTTCACTGTAAAGATTTGTTCCTCCTTTGACCTACTGCATCAACAAGCATAGTTCAAGTTCATCAAATTGTAGTGTATTACTCTTTTTTCTTCCTCTAGTCGAGTTCTGATCACCCAGCCATTGAAGCCAGATCAAGTGGGTACTATCTGAAAGTATGGGTGTTCTTGTGAATCTCCCATCACTTCATATCAGCTGGATGCTTCACACTCTGCTGTGGTCCTCTGTGGCCATGTCCCTGTCCCTGGGCCCAACAGTCCCCATGTCTTGTCATACTGCTGGTCAACCAGGTCTCAATCCAGGTTAACAGGAGCCTATTGAGTGTGGTTGTCCTTAGCTCACAACTTCATTGTTGCTTTTCCCTCACTTCCCCGTATCAGTGACCAGCGTTGTCAGCAAGACCACATGCCTGCTCATGTATTTCCTTTGAGTTTTAGTCTTGGAAGGGGGTTTGTCCTGAGGGCTTGATGGCTCTTGGGAGATTGACTTGCTTGTTCTTGTAGTAGTCAGTCAGATTGCCATTATTGTTTTTGATTTTTCTTGCCGGTATTTCTTTCAAGAAGTATCTTCTGTCCTACTAGCCGCTTCAGGCTGGTCTGCTTGCCCTTTCAAGTGGAAATTTCCCACCTCAGAAGATTCTGGATGCAGATCAGGATTCTACCTATGGTCTCATGCAATGCAAAGACTCCGCAGGAAGCCTCCTTCATTGGGCAAGTTCTAGCCCCAGTTTAGGTATTCCAATCAATTAAAGGCTGAAGACAGACTTATAAGCTTTCTATGGTAATGCTTCTGACTATTCCTTTCTCTCCTCCTCAAGTGTCTATTTTACAATAGTAGGTAAGGGAAACCAAGATTCAAAAGACAGCCAAACATTGTAACATTATTTCCCCACTTTTATCTATTCAAAGCTTGCCTCAATCCTTTTATCACAGAGCCCTGTAGTTCCAAGGTTGTGCTTACATCGTTATTTACTTCTGTCCTATTTAGCCCATGCA